AATACCGTCGCATCTACGTTGGAAGCCCTCGTGTCAATTATGCTCGTCAAGAACAGGAAGCGTCGAGCATATTCTTCTTGTTCTGCGACATTGAACCTTCTCGAAAGTCTCGAGTTAGGGGAATCTAACCATCGTTTTACATCAACGAGCGACGGAAAGTTGCTCCAGAATCTACGACCCTTAATTTCGTCAAGAACAATAAATTATTCATCAATGAGATATTTTCTTTCTTGTTTTATTCTTTTAATAATATTTATTATTCTCTCACTGAAAAATTTCGACGACCACTTTAATAGTATATTCCTAGTATTAGAAAATTTCTAAACTTGGGAAATGTGCAGGAAGATATCACGTCACGCTTTCGCCGAAAATCTTGTATGTAAAGATATGGAAATTTTCCTTCTCGCGGCTTCGCAAAAGCCGTGACTCGCGGGGCTCTCGAGTTTTGCGCGTCGATTATCTTCATTCGGCAGATCCGAGCTGAGATGTTTCGAGTCCCGGCTTTCGAACGAGTCTCGGCTTAACTCGGTTGTTGTGAATAAGTAAGCGAAGTGTTGCGAAGTGCTGCAGAAGTTGGGCAAACCCTCGACTGGGGGGCTCGAAATAAATTGTTATACGGATGAGCTGCCACGAGGAATACTCGAGCAAGCGACTTTGCCGACGTCGGCGCCGCCGGGTGTGAATGTTTAATTACCGGCTTTCATTATTGTAATAAAATAATAGCGCAGCCGGAGAGGGTCCGTGGAAACGAGACCGCACTTGACGAAATCGCACCTTATCATTTCGCTGACATTTCTACCGGAATTTTACCAAATATGTCGAATATGATTAATATAGATTCATCTTATGCGAATTTAAATCTCTTTCCAGAAAATAGAATTTATTACATTCATTTGTTCGCTTACCTATGATTGCATTGTTGACAAGCGAAGCACTCCAAGTGATAAACGTTGGTTCTCGCGCGCATCACCATCTCGAATGCCGGGATAACTTTGCTGCATGCTGCGCAGTGACCGGTATTTCCGAAAAGTCTGTCAAACAAACAACAGAGAAAAAAATTATCATTGCCATTTCAAATATTTCGTGATTATGCGCTCGGTATTTAAATATACAGATCGCATCAATTAAATATTTCTAGCTCGTTGAAATTTGTATTTCATACTGAAAGCCTTACTGAAAATTCTTAATAATAAATATATTATTAAATATATTATTACTTAATGTTAAATATATATTATTACAGAATAATGTGATGAGAATATTGTCGGAACTTTGGGAGTTTGTGACTATTATACGGAAAAAGAAATCCTTCGTCTCCAAAACGATAGCGAAACTTTCGCCCTGCGCGTCGCGAGAACCAATAAGCTTACGAGCACCACGAATATGCCGTCTTCAAATATTGGGCCATTAATAAAGGCCACAATGTTTCGATGGTGCGTGTTCCTCGTGCGGACGCGCCACCTGCGCGCATTCCCTCGGGACTTTGTAATCTCAACACGGTTTATTTGCTCCCGCTTGTTTATATGGGATGTGGATGTATTCAATAAGAGAAACTCATCTGTAAAATTCGATTTGTTGCCGCCGCTTTCCTCCATTTTCTCTCTCCTCCATCCCGATCGTGTCCTTTATCCCGCTTTTTATCAATCTGTCTATCTATCTACGTTTACTCTGACTCGTCGACGCAAGACGCGCGCGATTGAATCTGAGAAAATTCTTCCGAAAACAATTTTGCGAGAAATGGATTAAATTCTTCTTTTTTTTTGTTCGCTACTCACCGTAAATAATCTCGTTTACAAAGGATGAGATTGGCCTTGGTATAAAGCGTCGAGCCGACTTCGCCGAGCCTGCAGTCGCAACATCCGCATTTCAAGCAGTCCTCGTGCCAATACATATCCAACGCTTTCAAAAGATACCTAATTAAAAGAAAATTTATAATAGTGTTTATATAAAAAGTAGAATCTCTATTTCTCTAAATGTTTTAAAAATATAATATATTATATGTTGATGAAAAAAAGATTATGAAACTAGTAACGTTATATTTAATATAATTGAGATTAGAGTCTTTTTTTTATTCTTGAAAGTTATTGTACAATAATTCAGAAATTGAACTTTATTGTGTTCTATAATCGCTGATTTAATTTTCGTTGAAATATTAAGTTGTGAATTTATAAACGAATTTATTCTCCGTGACTAACCTTTCAAAAATGTAAAAACGCGTTTAATTCATTTTTCGTGTATTCGACGATCTCGGAGAAAAGATAGACTAAATTAAGTAAATCGTTCTTACAATCAGTATGTTTTCGAGAGATATATATGTTAATATAGTAATTAAGTAACATATATATGAAACATTATCACGCAATGAGAAAGCACTTACCTTTCTGTAATCGCCTTTCCACAGCCCGCGCATTCTTGTTGAGTGGCCCCGTTCTTGCCCGACTCGCTCTTGCTCCCATCCATAGTCATTTTATCGCCTGAAAACATGATGAAGAAATGCTTTGCTTAATCTTACAATTAGTTATATAAACCGCGGGTTGAAAGTTGACGTGTCTTGTAAATTTACATCTAATATATTAAAAAAATCTCTATTTAAATTAGAATAATTACTATTACTAGATTATTCAAGAGTTTGCTCCGAATAGTTAATTATTTAATTATTACGGCATTTTTCTCTCGATTCGGAAACTACGACCGAGCCGTCGGATCGACTTTCGGCTACGGTTCGTCGAATGAGTAATCGCGTTGGCGTGCTTTTAACAAGTTTCACCGGCATCTGGCACTAGAATGTCGGCTTGTCTATGAGTAATTAGAGTTACGGCTGGAGAATTAACGGCGCGGTTAGTGCCATCTGGCATCCACCCCGTTCGATCCTGAAGTGTTACCTTTCTATCCTCACGCGGATCCCTCCCAATCCTATTAGTACTCGTTTCTCGCGATCGGTCTTAGTTTGGAATCGAATTAGTGTAACCCTCCCAGCTCGTCTTCGCTATATTGCGTCGTTAAGGGTCGACAGGCGACATGGTGGAGACGCCTATCGGCCGGCCGGGAATTACGGATTCGTTCATCCCATATATTAGCCAAAATACTTAATGAATCTTATTAAATTTACGATATTCTTAATCAGTAGGATTGTCCGCAGGGAGACAAAGATCGATTTTTTGGAAAAAAGATAAATATAAAATTCATAATATAACTTGGGGAGATGCGCAGCTAGCAGCGGGTAAGGTTGGGTTAGCCACGAGATCGTATTTAATTTATTATAAATTTTTAAGAGCAATAATGCAAAATTTGACTCTTTGTCTCCCTGCTTTATTATATAAAGAATATATTAAAAAATATTTCACGAAGCTACGTAACTTCTTTTTATGTAATATTTGGGATGAACAAATCTCACTAGATCTATACTCATGGGGAAATTTTCGTGGTAACATACTGACAGCTTGACAAGGAGAGAGTATCATTCTATCTTTGTCTCTCTTGCATTTGATATGTGTAAAATCAGTATAAATACAAAAACCAATATATTACGCACACGAATGAGAAATATTTTACATCTGCTCATTATATATAAAAATATAAAAGTAATGCAAATTAAATTTCACATTTATTTATAATAGTATTGTGAGGTAGTAACACATATGGAAATCTTATAAGATAAATGCTGTACATCGATTAGCGTAATATTATGATTACAAGTCGCAATAAATGATTTTGCTAATATATTATTTTGAATAAAAATTTTATAAAAACAAATAAAAATAAAATGAATAAATTTTATTCATTCTTTGTTTTTTTCTATTATTTTTTCTATTATTTGAATAAAAGGCGTATCGTATGTAATAGATAAATAATAATTTATATATATGTATATATTGAAATTAATATATATATATATATATATATATATATATATAAATTTCAAAACGTATAATTATATATTTATATAAATTATCTATCTATTTAATCTATTACACATGATACATCTTTTATTCAAATAATAGAAAAAATAATTAATAGAAGAAGAAAACAAAGAATGAAGAAAATTTATTAATTTCATTCTTTTTGTTTTTATATTTTTTTAATTTTTATTCAAAATAATATATTAGCAAAATCATTTATTGACTTGTGATCATATTATGCTAATCGATGTACAGAATTCATCTTATATGATTTTCATGTATTAACTACCTCATAATACTAGTATAAATTAATGTAAAATTTAATTTCCATTACTTTTATATTTTTATATGGGATGAGCAAATGTAAAATATTTCTTATCCGTGTGCGTAATTTATATTAAAATATAATTATTATATAAATAATTAAATAAAAATATATATAATAAATAATTTATTATATTTATAAAAAATTTATGTAATAAATTGTCTGTATAATATTTTACTTATTTATAAAATGTATTTTATAAATAAATAAAAAAATAAATGAATTAGATAAATATGATAAATTAGTGAATGTGGTAGGAAATGTCATATTTATTTTTTAGTCAATATATAAATTAAATGTTTATTAAATTTAATATTAATTTAAATTATATATTGATTAAAAAATAAATGAATTAGATAAATATGATAAATTAGTGAATAAGGTAGGGAAATAATTTTTTTTCTATAAATTAATTATAAAATTTGAATATAAATAAATTTTTATAAAAAAATTTTAAAAATTTAAATAATTTTTAATGATTAATTAATATTTAAAATAATTATTTTAATAAAAATTATAATAGATAATTTTATTTATATTATTAATAAATTTAGGTGCCAGCAATTGCGGTTAAACTGATGATAAGAATAAATAATTTTAATAATTTAAAGAATATAAAAAGGAGATTTAAATATTTTTTTTTTAATTTTATTTATAGTGAAATGTAATAATTTTAGTTAATAAAAAAAATTTATTTTGGAAAATTTATTTCTAATTAAGTTTAAAAAGAAATTAGGATTAGATACCCTATTATTTAAATAAAAATAAAATTAATTAAATATTAAATGTAAAGCATTAAAATAAAAAATTTGGCGGTAATTTATTATATTAGAAAAACTTGTTGATTAATTTGATAATCCACAAATGGATTAACTTAATATAAATATTTTATATATTGTTGAAAATTAAATTAAGAGATTTTAATTATAAATTTATATTATAAATTAAATTCAAATCAAAATGTAGAATTATTAAGATTTAGATGAGTTATATTGAAAAATATTTTTTTGTAAATTATATTTAAATTTATTATTTAAAAAGGATTTAAATGTAAATTTATAAAATTTATAAGTTGAATTATATTTAAATTATGTACAAATTGCCCGCCGTTCTTATTAATTATGATTTGTAAGAAAAGTCGTAACAAAGTAAATATATTGGAAAATGTATTTAAAATAAAAAAAAATTTTAGTTTATTTAAAAATATTTTATTTACATTGAAAAGATTAATGATTTAATATGATTTATTAAAATTAAAAAAAATTAAATTTAAATATTTATGAAAAATTTAATATGATTTGTGTGTGTGATTATTTTAATTAAATAAAATTATAATAAAAAATTAAATAGAGTTAGTTTTTGAATTGTTGAAGTATTAAAAAAAATTAAATAAATATTATAGATATAAGTAATGTAAATGAAAATTTAAAATAAATTAATTAATTAAATAAAAATAAATTTTATTAATTGTACCTTTTGTATCAGGGATTATTAAATTTTGTTGTTTATTGGAATAATTTAAATTTCTCGGAATAAAATGAGTTAAATAAAATATTAAAGTTAATGTATAAAAATTATTTTAAATATTTATTTGAAAAAGATATTTTAATCCACTTTTATGATATCTAGTTTTTTTTATATAAATTTAATTTATATATAAATCATTTACAATTAATTAAATTAATAATAAAATTTAATTAGTAAATTTATGTAAAAAATTTATGGAATTAACTATAAATTATAATTAAAATATTTTATGAATATAAATGATTTAAATAGAAAAATATTTTTATTTTTAAAAATTTTTTATAAAAATTTAATAATTTATTATGGAATGGATTATTCTAATTTAAATATATAATAATTTGAAAATTTGATTTAATTAAATAAAAAAATATTTTAAATAAATTAAGTATTTTAATAAATAATGATAGTATAAGTATATTTATATTAATTATATAGAAATTTTTAAATTTAAAATATATATGTATATATAATTAAAGAATTAGGCAAATTTATTTTATTAAATTAAAATTTTAATTTACTTGTTTAACAAAAACATGGTTTTTTGATAATTTAAAATTATTTCTGCTCAGTGATTTTTAAATAGCCGCAGTATATTGACTGTGCAAAGGTAGCATAATCAATTGTTTTTTAAATGAAAACTGGAATGAAGGAATTGATGAAATTAAAGCTGTTTCAATTTGTAGATTTAAAATTTAAATTTTAAGTTAAAATTCTTAAAAGAAATTATGGGATGAGAAAACCCTATTGAATTTAATATAATTTTTAAATTTATTTAAGGAAATAAATTTTATTTTAATGATTATATTTTATTGGGAGGATAATTAAATAAAATAAACTTTAATTTAAAGATAATTTTAACATTAATTAATGAAATTTTTATAAAGGATTGATTATTAAATTAAGAAAATTTTTTTTTTTTATATAATTATTATAAAAATTAATTACCTTAGGGATAACAGCGTAATATTTTTAGAAAGATTATATTAATAAAAATGATTGCGACCTTGATGTTGAATTAAAATAAAAATTAAATGAAGAAGTTTAATATTTTAGTCTGTTCGACTAATAAAATTTTACATGATTTGAGTTCAGATCGGTGTAAGCCAGATCGGTTTCTATCTATAATAAAATTAAGAAAATTTTGTACGAAAGGACTTTTTTTCAAATTATATTTTTTTTAATGAATAAATTTAATTGATTAAATATATGTAAATAAATAAAATTACTTTGGCAGAATTTAAGTGTATTAAATTTAGAATTTAAATGATGTATAATAGAAAAAAATTATACAAGTAATAATTTGTCAAAATTTAAGATTATATTTTTATAGTGCGTTAAATATATTAAGATTGTTAATTTTGTTATTAATTATATTAGTTGGGGTAGCTTTTTTAACTTTATTGGAACGAAAAATTTTAAGATATGTACAAATTCGTAAAGAACCTAATAAGGTGGGATTTATAAGATTATTTCAATCTTTTAGTGATGCTATTAAATTACTTAATAAAGAATTATTTTATGTATATAAATCTAATTATAATTTTTTTATGTCCTATAATTAGATTTGTTTTAATAATAATATGATTAGTATTTCCTTACATTACTAATATTTATTTTTTAAATTATTCTATTTTATTAATAATTGTTTTATAACTATTAGAGGGTATGTTATAATTTTTATGGGATGATCAGCTAATTCGATTTATTCAAAAATAGGGG